CTTTGAGAATAGGTGTGGCCTTGTTGGAGGAAGTGTTTCCAAACATTGAGGTTTCAAAAGCTCACACCAGGCAGGTCTCTCATTCTCTGTCTCCGTCTTGCAGATCATACGTAAGCTCTTAGCTACTGCTCCAGTGCTGTGCTTGCCTACCTGCTGTCATACTTCAAGCCATGATGGTGGTGGACTACCCCTCTGAAACTTGAAGCCAGTCCCAAACTGAATGCTGTTTTCTCCGAGTTAGTTTGATCATGGTATCTCCTCACAGCAATAGAAGAGTAAGACAATTCCTAACACCCACATGGCAGCTCCTAACCATCTGTAACTCCAGGCTGAAGGGATATGACACCCTGTTCTGGCCTCTGTGAGCACCAGGCACATCGAGTGGTGCACAGACACATATGCAAGGAAAACACTCGTATATATTAAATAAAAATAAAATTTAAAAATTTAAAACCTGGGTCGAGTAGAAGTTTTCAAAAGGTTTTAAGATTAGGAGATAGCATATGCCACTCTAGGAAAATGCAGAAACACTGATCATTCCAATTGTGCTCATGTTAATTTAATTATCCAGAAACTTTGGTTTAACTGCTTCTGTAAGATAACACTTCTTTTTACAACTGTACTCAGATCTCTTTCAAATTTTTTGTGATTATCTTTTCTCCAGCTGATGTATAGCTGGACACCCCGGTCCTATTTCGTCTGAGAAGCCAGCAGCAGTATTATCTCCCAGCTACTTCCTGCAGTGTTTTCAGATCTTGTCTCCTGTCCCAGCAACCCTGAACAGTTAATTCCCTGATCACTTTAGCACTGGCTTCCCCAAATTTCTGTCCTAATGGGAATCATTTTGGAAATATAGATTCCCACACCGCATCTCTAATTCTGAGTTAATGAATCTGAGAAGGGCTCAGTGAGCTGAAAGTTTAACAAACTCCCTTGGAGGTTTCTACACTCAAGAAAGTTTTTAAAACATACTGGAGGAGGAGGGAGCACTTGGCATTATGGGACACATAACCCAGGCATTCAGGAGGCTGAGGCAGGAAGAGCTCCAAGTTTATGGCAAATACGTGCCACAAACTTGTATCAAAATAAGTGAATAACTACAAGAAAATCTTCCCAAAAAATCTCCTGCGTATCTACTATAGAAAAATAACACAATTTCTCATTTGTCTTTGTGTGTGTGTGTGTTTGTATGTATGTCTGTATGTGTGTGTGTGTGAGACAGAGAGGGGGAGAATGTGGTATATGTGGAGATGTGCATGTGTGACACACACACACACACACACACACACAGAGAGAGAGAGAGAGAGAGAGAGAGAGAGAGAGAGAGAGAGAGAGAGAGAGAGAGAGAATGTGGTGTATGTGGACATGTGCATGGGCTCACACCAATGTACATATGCAGAAACCTGAGGAAGGCTTTGGTCATCTCCCCTTCATTCCCTTGAGGTGCATCTACTTACATGACCTGGAATTAGCAAGCTCCAGTGATGCTCCTGTCTCCACCTCTCAGTGTTGGTGTTACAGGCACGGGCACAGCCAGACACAGCCTTTCATGTGGGCCTTTGGGATTCAAACTCAGGTCCTTATGCTTGCACAGAAAGGTTGTTTTTATTCACTCAACCACCTCTCCAGCAGAGTCATCACTGTTTCCACTGTAGGATGTTAATCTGTAGTTATTTTATTCATGATCTTTCCTGAACAGACCCGAAACATATCTTAAAGAACTGCTTTGCTTTATTTCAGTTGAGTCTTCATTTCAGAAGATTAAATACTGGTGCCGATTGGTTTAGTTAACATCTTAGGAGGAAAGTCTCAATGGAAAAGCGCTTCAATGGAATTGTCCTGTGGGCAAGTGGGGGGGGGGCGGCATTTTCTTGCTTGAATGGTCTGGGAGGGCCCGGTCCACAGTACTATTCCTGCACAGGTGACCCTGGGAGGTATATGAAGAGCAGCAGAACAGGCCAAGGAGAGCAAGCCAGTAATCAGCATTTCTCCATGGTCTCTGCTTCAGTTCCTGTCTCCAGATTACTGCCTTGAGTTCTTGTCCCAACTTCCTTTCATGGTGGATTGTGGTTAGAGTATGTGGTAGACGAAGCCTTTCCTTTCCGGGTTGCTTCTGGTTGTGGTATTTGTCACAGAGGTAGAGACATTATACTTCCCCTTTTGTAGAATACAATAACTGTAAGTGGAATTTCTCTTCCTTTGTTTATTTACTCTCCTTTGTCCTTCCTTATTTTATTCACAAAATCTCTGCCAAATGGCATTATTGTATTTACACATATCTAAGAGCAAATTTTAATGTTATTTTTGTGCTTCTGTTTAAATTTTTTTAATGTTATATTGTTTTGTCTCATTCTAATGCTTGCTCTTCCTCAGCACTATGCTTTTAAACCATGTTCATGTTCTTACATGTAAGTCTTGGCCTTTGTATGCACATACCATATGTTGCTCAGCCATATTACTCATGTTAACAAGACATTCCTTCTGTTTTGTCATGGCAAAGAATATTGTAATAAATATGTCCATACATGGGTCCTCACATTAGAACAGGTATGGTATAAAAAGCCAGGGGAGAGATAGATTCATGCATAAAATCTATTTACTCTAGCTACAACTTCTGTAGTATAAGGAGCAAGAGAAGTTATCCTCTCCTTATTGACTTGCTTTCAAATCATATGGAGAAAAGCCTCTCTTTTCACTGTTGTATGTTAGCTCTAGGGTTTTCTTATATGAACTTTACTATATTAAGATAGTTTCCTTATATTTATTGTTTGTTGAAGTTTTTTTATAACTAGCATTACAAAGTGTTAGATTTTGTCACTGTTTTTCTTAATTAATTGATTTTGTCCTTCATTCTATTAATGGGATTGTATCATGTTTATTGAATGTCTTATGTTGAACCATCCTTGCATTCCAGGAGTAAATCCTACCTGGCCATAGGAAGCAGTGCTAAACTGGTTATTCCCGTCTCATTATGACCAAACACCTGACAGAAGCAACCATAGTGTGATAGCTTTACTTTTCTTCATGGTTCAAAGGCTACAGCTCTTCATAGTAAGGAAGATAGGGCAATGGGAGAAATAGAAGGTAGCAATAGTATGTGATGCCTAGGCATAGCTTTTAGCTTTCCGAAAAATAGAGATTGGGCTAGAAATGGAGCCATACTATAACTCTAAGTCATTCCCCTGCAGCTCTATATCTGCAATGAGTGCCAAATCCAAATGTTCCACAAACCCCTAAAACAGCACTACCAACTGGGGATGTATTTTATATGTAACTTTGTTCATACTTTATGAAAACAAAATGAATATATATGATCTTTGCAATCTCCTGAAATAATATGAACTCTCTCCTTTCCTCAATGTGGTGAGCTATATCAATATGCTTACTCATGTTAAACAATTCTTGCATTTCTGTAGGTGATTCAAGTTGCTCATCATGATGCATTATTTTCTAATGCAATGTTGGAGTAAACTAGTGAATATTTTAAGGAAATTTTCATAAACTGTTCATTAAGTATGATGGACTTGAAGTTTTCTTTTCATATGCTTACCTGTTTTGGTAATTACAATATTCATAAAGTGAGGTACATCCCTAATGCTTGAAATTTTAAGTGGTTAAAAAAAACTTTATCACTAATGTTCCTTTGCTTTGGAAGGAGAGAGATTCAATTAATTACACCTTAAAACATTTCTTAGTGCATATTAATTAAATTAATTAATTATTGAATGCTTTCCTTTTGGTGATTTAATGAATTTAAATTTTTAGTAAGTCATTCATATTATCTAAAATCGGAAATTTTATAGTACATAGTAATTAATAGCATCATTGCATTAAAACATATTTATCTGCTTTATTAATCCTATGGACATTTTTCTTTGTTGAATATTTCATTTGGATCTTTTTTGCTTCTGACAGATGGCCTGTCAGAAGCCTATATTATTATTTCAAAAATTGGGTATTAGACCATCATGGTGGCTTGTACCTTTAATTCCAGTACCTGGAAAGCAGAGGCAGATGAATCACTTTGAGCCTAAAGTCAGCCTGATCTACAGAGTGAGTTCAAGAACAGTCAGAGCTACACAGTGAAACCCTGTCTCAAAAAGACCCCAAAACAACTACAACAAAAAACTATAAAACAAACAAACAGCAAACAAAACCCAAGATGGGTTTTTAATACTATTAATGATGTTTGTTTCATTAAGCATTGGTAAATTGTTATCATTTCCTTGATGGGCCTCTTTTGTTCTCTCCCTGACTTTTTAAATAAATCCCTAGGTGATTTGATTTTATTTCTCTATGCATTTATTTAAAGATACACTTTCTACTAACAATGTCTTAATTTTCAATTTGTTTTAAGGCATATTTTATAAATGTTCACTGTATACTCATAAAAATATGCTATATCAATTTCTTGGACATTATCAAACTTTAGTATATTTTGATAAATCTGTTCTTATATTTTCTGCTTTAATTCTATTTCTAAAATATGTTCGATAGAGCTTTCAATTGTGCTTGATTTATTGATTTCTCTTAATTTTGTATGCCAAAAGCCAACCAAAAATCCCTTATTCACTTTAAGTACTTTAATCCTCAAATATTTGCCCAAGCAGAAGGATTGTTCAAGACTATGCTGTATTAAAAATAGTACTTCTGGTTTCCTAGTTCAGTTCATTTCTATGAACTCCTCTTTGGAACCGTCTGTTAAAGATTATAAGAGGACTTGACCACTGTCATCATTTCATGGTATGGAGGGTCACGTGACCGCATGCTCTTTTCCTGCAGCAGTTCATCAATTTTTTGCGAAGAGTAGAGGACAGGTGTCACTGGGCTATCGGGAAGTAGTGGCTTAGAGCACAGCTGTAGCTAAAGAACAAAGAGATAAGGGAGATGGAGTACTCAGCTGGTAAAGTGACTGATTGCTGAAATCAAAGTTGGATATGTGATAAAGGGTCTAAAGTCCAAGGACCCGGTAAGGTTGACAGACAAGTCTAATGGCAGTAGGAGACTCAGCCGTTGGGAAGTTAAGCGGTGCCGAGGCTTTCCAGGTGGAACTATTCTGAGTATGATCAGAAGAACAAGCTATACTGAAAAAAGAAATGTTGTGAAGGTCTTGTCAGTGGTACTGAGACTAATTGGAGATACATGGGGTATTTGGATGTGCATCGAAGATACCAATATGGAGGTGGAAGAAATTGCAAGTGACAAAGCAGGAAAATCCATGGCTTTGGTAAGGACTAAATGGAAGGCAGAAATAGAGAGGGAGTACTGAATGGATGCCAGGGACCATAAGGGATGATAGGCGATAGTTTGGAGACATACTATGTGCCCAAAGAAGTTTTCTGAAGCTAGAAAGAATGATACTGAGAGAAGCAAAGGGGGTCAAGGAGTGTAGTGTGGGCTTCTCTTCTCCTCTCCGGCACTTGGGGTGTAGACGGAAAACTCCCTATCTGGCAAGCCCAGGAAGCTCCGTGACCTTGGGAATGCAAAGTTTCATTCAGACAGCATCTAGGAGTTATTCTTGAAGGTCACTCAGATAGAAAAGAGGGAAAGCCCAAGTTGAGACTGGAAATGATGAGCTTGGGGACTGGAGAGAGTTTGGAGAGGTAGAATGTTGTCAGGTGGGGTGACACAACTGGAGGGGTGAGTTGATGAGGATTTCAACAGCTCTGAAGTCCATATTGAGCTCTATGTGTTAGGACTCAGGCATTATGCTGGCCTGCCCCCTGCTTCTATGTAGTCTGCACTCAGGTGCAAAGGTCCCTTTAAGAGGAAAACTCCACCCACTTCTGCTCTCTTTCCTGCTATTCCTCTGAAGGGACAGACAGGACCTACCTTCCTCTCCTTCTCCCTCTCTGTCTCCACATCTCCTCCTCTTCCTCCTCCTCCTCCTCCTACTCCTCCTCCTCCTCCTCCTCCTCCTCCTCCTCCTCCTTCTCTCTCTCTCTCTCTCTCTCTCTCTCTCTCTCTCTCTCTCTCTCTCTCCATTCCTTTTTCCATTCCCTTCCCTATCTCCTAATAAAACTTCCCACTTAAGCTCTGTCTGCCTGGAGTGTTTGTCCCTTGCCTGGCATGGAGTTCGCCAAAGTCCCTTTGGAGCTGTACCATAACACTGTGATCAGCAATCGTTAGAGTTGTAGGGACTTCCAATTGAGCGGAGCCACAGGTGATTAATGTTACAAAAATTAATGTTTTGAAATTTAACGGAGGGCTGGCTCAGCTGCAAGTAATGCTCTTACAGAGATCTGAAGTTTGGCGAAATTTGGATCATAACACCCACATCAAGGAACTCATAACTCATCTCCAAGGGATTGGATTCCCTCTTCTGGCCTCCTCTGACACCTTTACACCTGTGTCATACAAATATATACACACATTAACAAAAAATAAAATAAGCCTTAAAAATATCAGTCTAATCCTCTGGGCAAGATAAACAGAGCAGAAAAGAAATTCGAATCAGGGACTTGATGTCAGGCCTGGAGCCTTTAGAGACACCATTTGACCTCATCCACCAGACTTTAAATATGACAGCTTCGAGTACTCCCTTTATTGTCATCAGATTGCCATGTGGCTTAAGTGGACGTTTGTTCAGCTCCTGTGACTCCATGGGCTGTTTCCTATCAGGAGTGGTGATATACAAAGTGGGATATCATTGAGGGAGATGGCCTGTCTGACACTCACAGCTCAGTGTCTGAATTATGGAGAACAGCCTGATGGAGGTCACACAGTCACTGCCCAGAAAGCACCCTTCCCACAGCCACGTCAATGCACCACATGGTCGTGGCATCTGCCTTCACAGCCCAAGTGGAGAGAAGCCATCCTGGCACAGGTCAGTGTCCAGGTGAAACCTTTTATCTTCTTCCTGTCATATTATTTGTTATTTCCATATGGGCCACTGACAGCTGTCAGTCAAGCAAGACATACTCTGCCTCTGGCAAATCTCAAGGCATACAAAAAAGAGACTAATGGAAGTCTGTCTTAATTAGATGATAATTAAACATTCCAGCGAGAAACCTCCAATCAGTGTGACAGAACATGCCAGTGCAAAACAAGGTTTCTCAGCAATATTCCAATAGACTGATAAGGGTTCACCTCTCTGGGAATTAAAAAAAGAAAAAAAGAAAACCAAAGAAACAGCCAAACACACACACACACACACACACACACACACACACACACACACAGCAATAACTAAAAACTTTTCAGTCCTCAAATATCTTGTCGAATTGAGGATGAAGCAGAACTACTCTCAAAGGGAATGGGGAAAAAATGAAGGAGGGTATCCCTAAGGAGTTGCCTTTCTCTTCCCTGGAAAGAGAAATGCAGTCACACTCAGCCCCTGGGGGCAGTGGTCACAAGGATGGGGAAGCAGCAATGGCAGGGCACATGCATGGATCCCCTTGGCACCACTATTCTCCCTGTGGGTCCTAATGCTGGCTCAGACCTTAGTAACAGAGAGCCTCTCCCCCTCCTTACTCAGCACAGCTACCTGTTCATCTCTCATCTACACACAGTGTCTGCGGAGTAACTGTCCGGGCTTCAGTGAATCAAGTACCCACCTAGACCTTTGAGATAATGGCTCTTCTGGTTTTTAGCGGAGTAACTGTCCAGGCTTCAGGCAATCCAGTACCCACCTAGACCTTTGAGATAATGGCTCTTCTGGTTTTTAGCAAGATAACTGTATACAGGCCCAGATATTGCTTCTATTAAATGTCTTCTAAATGTTAAATAAATTAAAATTTCCCCAACTAGAAAGTTTGTGGCACACAACGTTGAACACAGAAAAAGCATTTGCACAAAGCCTGCGTCAGATTAGTTCCCTGTTTAACTGATATAATTAAATAACGAATTGATGCAGTGTTGAATATTACTTAGTGTTGGGACCTGTGCCATCAAATACATAAAAGCTTTTGTTGTTTCTTGGCTGCAAAGGATCAAATGAAGCCATAGCTCCAAAGGCCTCATTTGACCTGAAACTTTTCTAATGCTAAAATGCTTCCCCAGATAGATTCATTAGTCAATGGTAATCAGTGAGCTAAGACAATCAAAGATCATCTGGAGCTCAAGACACAGCCTAGGTGAAATGAACCAGTGACAGAATAGCTTGTCAAAGTATTCCAAAGGTCTATTTTTATTTAATAGTGCACATACATACATTTAGAACATACCAGGAACACACACAGACAGACAGAGAGAGAGAGAGAGATCCAGGAAGATGGCTTAGTGGGTAAAGTGTTTGCCATGCTAGTAGGACCTGAGTTTGCACCCCAGCATGTGTCATAGCAGCAGGCCTCTATAACCCCAGTGTTGAGGGTAGAGTAGTGGTGGACACAGGCAAATCCCGTCATCCAACTGAATTAGTGAGCACAGGCAAACATACACAACACACACACACACACATACACACACACACACACACACTCACAGAGAAGAGAGACAGACAGACAGAAAAACACAGTGTTAATATTATCACAAGGAAAACTTAGACACTTTATTATGATAATAAGATCAATTTGAGGTAAATTCAAAAGTCCCCTCACCATGCATAGTATGGAGGTCAAGGACATAAGACAGGAGATGCACTAGACTTTATCTGGGTCTCTCGTGATTCAGCGGGACAGTTTCTGTAGGAAGATTAGCAAAGCTTTAACAGTCTCCATCAATGTTATGAAGACCTTCCTCCAAATGCCCAGCTTTTCAACTTCTCCTCCTTTGTTTCCTCTGAGATAAGAACCCAATGTCCTATTCTTTAATGTTCTGCTCCCAAACAAAAGCAGCCACAATGTTTTGCTTAGTGGACTTCAAAAGTATTTTGATTCAGTGTTGTGAGTTGGTATGTTTTCTTCTGTTTGTATGATTTCGATCACGTTGAGAAAGCTGAGAAAATGTGCTGAGTTGGCTTTTTTAAGTTTGTTTAGTTTTTTTTTTTTTAAGAGATTCAGCTTCAGTGTGTGCAACAAATCTTTTCCATCAAGAATGGGAGTCAGGGCGGCACAGCTTCTGTCTTCCTAACCCAGTACCCTACTCCGTCCAGTGCTTTGCTTCCCAAACAAGGTCCTAGGGTACTGCCTCAGATCTGCTCCTTGTCCACCCCACCCCCAGGCTGCTCTGCAGAAAGCTAACTGAAAGTTCCATTTCTCGGTTTCTCAGGTTCCAACTGGATAGGACAGGATGAGAGAAGCCCATCTCTCTGCTGCCAAGGAAGGACACCTGCAGTGCACGCCTGGTTCCAGCTCCAGGCAGGGATCCAGTTCCTACTATGGATCAATCTGGATTCTCACCTTCTCCCTTTTTCCTGTGAACCCAGGAAAAGCAGCAACTTAACTTTTTTCAGGTCTTTCAACAACTCCACAGTGTGTCCTTTTTATTTAAGCCTCTCTGGTTGAAATACCTGGTTTATACTCACTATTGTAATATCAAAGGTAAGAACTTTTTTCACTCTGAATTTAAACACGGTTTAACATTGATCACTTAGCTTTCCGATCATTATAAATACAGAGTGAAATACAGAAACTGGTAGAGACATAGTTCCTTGAGCCACATGCCCGAATAGACTGTGACAAGGAAGCTTCTAGCAGTATCTTTGTTAGTGAGTAAGAAATGTAGCTTGAACTATCCAGGTACATGTCGTTTATTTGCGGCACTAGCAAAGGAAACCAAGTGTCCCCCAAACTCCATTTAGTGGGCATTTTGTCAAAAGTGTATCTACATAGACAACACAACAGAGAACTCAGTTCATTCTGGTAACTTTAAAGACATTTTTGTGGTCACTGTTGCATACTTGGTCAGAAGTTATCAACAATCTGCAATGTAGAAGCTGGAGTTACCTCAAGTCGCAGTAAAGTCCATTCAATATGTAATAAGAGACTATGTTCTCCTGGGAATAGGAACCCTCCTGTCCCTTCTCCTCTAACATGTGGAGTGTTACTAGTTAGTTTTTAATTGTCTAGTTGTCACAAGCTACAATCACCTGAGACTGCCTGACTTGAAGAATGGTCCAGATTGGGTTTCCCTGTGAGCATGTCTGTTTGGCTTGATTATCAATTGATGGAGGAAGATCCAACTCATGGTGAGTGGCTCCCAGCCCTAGCTGGGTGTGTGCAGTGAAGCTGAGCTGTGTGAGAATGAAGAAATGTAGTTGAAGATAGCAATGAGCAAGGACACTGCCTGGGTACAACCATTTCTCTCTGCATTTGACTGTGGACATGAGGGATGAGCTGCTTGCATTCCTGTCTTGGCTTCCCCAGAAGAAAGAACCATGATGCAGGGTTGTAAACCAAATAAACCCTTTCCTTCTCCATGCATCTTTTTGACAGGGTATTTGTCATGCCAGCAGAAATGAAATGAGAACACAAAGGAACAAATTCCTAAGCCCCTAACCTTAATTTGAAAGTTTTTAATTGTGGTTAAAAAAAAAACAGCAACACACACACACACACATAAAACAAACAAAAAAGTGACTTGAAATGTAGCATCTTAACCACTTTTAAACAATATTTTATTAATTATTTAAGAATTTCATACAGTGTATTTTGAAGGTATCCACCCCCTTTTCCTAACTCCTCCCATAGATACCTCTCTGGCTCCCATCCTTCCCCACCCACCTTAGAGGTTTTTCTTCCTTTTTGATTTTCTTCTTTAACTTCTAAAGTTTTCATCATGGAATCCAGTTTGCATTACCTAGCTAATCTTGGGAGTGGACACTGCTCTGATGTATGGTTGATCTACAAGGAGTTGCATTGTTAAAGTAAATTAATCCTCCCTCTCCAGGTGCCTGTCAAATGCCAGTAACTCCTCAGCTACTGGTAGCATTGCATACCCTAGTCTAGCTTGTTACTTGGTCTGGCTGGAATTTGGGGAGGTCTTGTACATGTTACAATCACTATGAGTTTATAAATGCTGCTGCAGAAAATACTGTTTTCTTGATGTTATCTGGCACCTCTGGTATTTCAACTATTTTGGAATGATCAGATCAGTAGTGCTATATACATTCATATTGTTGGGCAACTACCTCCACCATCCATCTTCAGAACTCTTCTCACCTTGAAATGAGTATGTATACCACTAACCAAGCCCAGTTCCTCTCTTCTCCCAGTCTCTGATAACCATCTTACTAACTTGTCACCATGATTTGACTACTATAGATACCCCAGAAATTAGTATTATATAGTACATATCTTTATGTGATTAGTTATTTCACTTAGCTTAAAGTCCTCAAATTTGATCCATGTTGTAGCATGGCAGAATTTACTTCCTTTTTAAGACTTAGTAGGATTCTATCTTATGTCTGCACACTGTATTGAATTGGCATTTCTCTCATCTCTAGATGACTATGCACACTGCTACAATGAACATGTGTGTGTAAAGCTTTCTTAGAGATATCCTTATATCAATTCTTTTGGGTATGTATCTAGGAATAGAATTTCTGGATCCCATGGTAATTGTTCTTTTCACTACTAGGAGATCCCCACATACTTTTCTGTAGCAACTATACCATCTCCCATTCGCATCATCAAGGTACAGAAAAGATGAAGTTTCTCTTCATTGATATTTCTGGTCCTGTCAATATATATATTTAGTGGCTAATCTAATGACTTGTTTTGATTTTTATTCTTGAAATGGTGATTTTGAACAATTTTCCATGTTTATCACGTTTTCTTTGGAAACATGTCTATCTAAGTGCTTTGATTAGTTTTAATTGTGCTGGCTTTTGTTACTGTCAAGAACTATAGGAACTCTTTATATGTTATTGATATTAACCCCGTTTTCAGATATATAGCTTTCACATATCTTCTCACATCCCATAAGCTGCCTCCATGGTGTGTTAACACTATCCTTCAATGAATGAAAGTTTGGAAAATCTCAATGTATTTCAATTTATCTAATTTTTTCTTTCTGTCTTTGCTCCTGATGCCATATCTAACTCATGGCCAATGTCACGAAGCATTTCCTTATATTTTCTTTAAGGAGTTTTAGAGAACAGACATCCATCCATTTTGCACTAATTCTATATGTTATGTAAGGTATAGGTCCAACTGCACTGTGATCATGTGATCATGCAGTGTTCCCATTATCATGTCATAATATATCTAGCACTTTGCTTGTTGAGAATGTTCTTTGTTCCTTGTGTGAGATCATTTGCCCATACATGTAAAGCCTTACTTCTGAGTTCTTAACGTACATGGTTTGTTTTTGTGGTTAATATGTCTGTCTTTATGCCAGTATGACAATGTTTTGGTGATTGTGGTCTTCTGATAAGTTTTGAAGCCATGAAATTTGTAACCTCCAACTTTATTCTTTTTTATGACTAATGTATCCATTCATGAAACCCTCGGATTTCACTTAAATTTTACAATAGATAATTTTCTAATTTAGCAAAATGTGCTAATGGCAAGTTGCCTTAACTCTGAACATTAAATTCACCTAAAAACCTGACTTAAATGAACGACAGAAAACTTCCAAACTCCCAAGTTCATGCCAATATTGTATTAGGATCTTTCTGTACACTTATTGGTGAACAGTCACACATTGGTGAGTAGGCACACATTGGTGAACAGACATACATTAGTTAATAAACTCAGGACTGTCTCTGGCACACATTTAAGCTTGAGGTGGCCTGAAAGAGTCTACAGGGCACCACTTTTACAGATAATAACAGGGATCCAGGCTGTGTCTATATTGTAGTTGTGCCACTGTGAACCTGAGACCTTCAGGTTTGCCCAGCAGAGGAAGAACAGTATAGAATAGTCACACAGGTAATTACCAACCTGCGGGGGGTGTGTTCACCACGCCAGTGAAACACACACACAAATTCATCTGTATTTCATTCACCAGTACTAGGCACTTAGCCCTTAACTACACGGGAGTGGAGGACCATGTAGAAGTATTGCATTTGGCAAACACCATGGCTGCCCCAAGCACTTATTTTCTTTCGAAAGATACATTGTTACATTGCCTTCCTGTTTTATTTGGTGTTTGTCATGGCTCCCAGTTCTACTGGATTTTGAGAAGAGAAACAATATGTTGCACATCGTGGTGTGTCCCATCATACCCAGCAAAATACCTCTCCTATAACTGATGCATTCAACACCCAGTCTAAATACTTGAGTTCCCATAATGTGCACTATTTGGGGGACTGGGAATACCTTGGTATGAGACTTCAGTGAATTCTATGTATCTAATTCACAGGATCCATTAAGTATCCACATAAATGAATGTAAATCCATAGTCGCACTGAGCATTACAAAATACAAACACACCAAACTAAGAAAAAAATATGATCTCATAACTAAATTCACAAACAATGGTGCTATTGAATAGACCAAAAGAATTACTTATATGGACAGTGGAAAATTCCACTCTATGGAGATTCTAAGACAATGGGGGCAGGGTGAAGAGAGAAGGTAAATATAACAGTGCCAGGCAATTAGCAGGTACTTCTGAACTCCCCGGAGAAGTCTGGTTTTCAAACAGCATTCCCCAGTCTCCTGTACTGTGCCTGGTGTGATAGGTAATGTGTCAGGAGTAATAAAGAGAAATGGCAATATAACTACAAACGGAAGAAACACATCCCCAGTATACTTCCACCCTGCCAGGACTTTTCTGTCATACTCTAATGGGATCACATGAATAATTTTGTTTGCTCTAATAGGAACCCAAAAAATACATAATCTCATCAGGTTGTTTTGATAGCGTGGTCTGAAAGAAATGAATGTGAGCATGATGAAAAGAAAAGATAAGCAATATAAATACAGCAAAATGGAGTATTTGTGGACATGATTATTTTAGATGTTCATATGGTATCTGTGATAAGAATGTTGTCTCTGCTCCCCTCTCTTTCTTGATGAACTATGGGTAGTTATCCGAGAATGGCAGGCGTCTATGTCTTCCTATGTTTTTATACTGGGAAAAGAATGTGTCTCTTTGACTTACATATGTTTATTTATTTATTTATTTTACTCAATTGTGTACTTATGAGCTTGCAGTCTGCTCCCATGGCATAATCCAAATGACTTGGACAATTTGTTATTGTCAGCTTTGGAAATGAGAACATGAAGGCACCCTGCAGCCCTGAAAACATATCAAGTCAAGTTCTGAAAGCAGTTATTTAAAATGATTTCAGTAAAGCCTCCTATTTTCTTTCCCCTCCAGGATTGTTTGGAAAATTTTGCTTGAGTTTTGCCTGAGCTTTTAGACAAGTTACTCAACTTCCTACTTGCTTGTGGGCTAGGTTGAAATCCAAAACTAGATCAGCCAGAATTCACATATTACAGAGAATGCATATAATAAACATTTAATAAACACTGGTTGAAATTAAGTCAGTTGAATTGAACTGAACTGAACTGAAAAATTAAAGACTTGTGTGGTTCAGCAAATTAGAACATTCTGTTAGAAACGGACAATCCAATCGCTTGCCCTGCAGCAACATGGTCTGCCCACACACAAAGTGTAGGTGTATGAACAATCACGTGCTTAGCCAGTCGTGCACACTTGCACAGAAAGCAGGTTATTTTTGTTGAATAATGTCATTGTGAATTTCCTGTCTTTGTAATTCAAGAAATATGGGCCTTTACTGACCAAAAGGAAGAAATGAATTATTCAACAATGATGTTGGAAAATTGGCTCACTGTCTGGAAAAAAATAGTCCTCAGATTTTCACCTCAAACCACACAACAAAATAATTTGATATTAAAGAGTGAAATGTCAAAAGCAAAACCCCTCAAACCTGAAGGAACATTTCTGGTGAGGATTGGTAGAAGAGCAACTGTGAGGGAATGAGGGTACCTCAGTTTATACTTCGTACGTCTCCATTGTCTTTTTACAAACAAGAGAAATAATTTTCAGGCATGATTGTTAAAATGAGCAGAAAATAAAGTGAATGTTTTGTTAGTTGTATATAATGAAAGAAAATCAGTACCTCTCGAATGATTTCTTAATGTCATTAAGAGCATCAGACCAAAAAGAGAGAGAGAGAGAGAGAGAGAGAGAGAGAGAGAGAGAGAGAGAGAGAGAGAGAGAGAGAGAGAGAGAGAGACTGGTAAAAAAGATGAACTTGGATAAATATTCAAAAAAAGTCTTACAAAACATTAATGTCTTCAGTGTATAAAGACAGTTACAGTTTATCAAGGAAAGCATAGAGGACGAATTAGAAAAAAAGAGCCTAAAGGGACTATAATAGAAACATAACCTAAACATAAGCATTTCATGGTTTCAAAAGAATATTTATCATAACCTTATTTATACTATTTTTTAAAAATTAGGCTCAATCTCAACTCATAACAAAATAAGTAGACTACTGTTTGGAGAGGACGTAATGCTATATACAAAAAGGGCTTTAGAAATACACAGCAACTTGTAAAGCATA